GGTGATGGTAGCTGACAATAATGTTGGTGATGGTAGCTGACAATAATTCCCATCAAATGCTGCATGAAAATCAAAAATCCAAGATGGCCACCAACACTACTTTTGTATGGATTTAACTCGGCCATATTTACACATAGAGCTGAAATTTGGTGAGGTTATAGCTGAGAACGTTCCCTATCACATACTGCATCCAAATCAAAAATCCAAGATGTCCGCCTTAGCTAAAAAGGAAAAATACAATAACTGGCATTTTTAGAGCTATTCAGCTGAAATTTGGTAAAGTGGTAGCTGAGAGCAGACCCAAACACAAAGTAGTGTCAGATGAAGAGTTTATATCAGCAGCAGCCTGGCAGTCCAGTCCATTAGGAACAATTGTGCACGTTCTGCTTCCTTCTGATAGTTGAAGCTTCTTCCTGCTGTTTTAAGCTACTTTTCAACTGTTTTATTGACATTCGTTAGCAAGAAACTTTCACACTTGCATTTTCGCCAGAAATGCAAATTCTCTAGTTTTAACTGCATTTGTACTGTAGTTTATTGTTGTCATTGTTTACAGTTGTTGTTGTCTGGACTTTATATGTTCGGTCTGGAACAGGGCTCTCTTGTAAATGAGTCCTCGTGGCTCAGTGAGACAAACCTGTATAAATAAAGGTTGAATGAAAAAAAAAAAAAACTGGTTGATCCACTATGTGAAGGTGATATTTATAAGAGTGAGTTTGCTGCAGCTCCTCAGACTGAAGAAGTCATCTGGATAAAAACAAACCGTTTCAACAAGTTGTTGGGTTTTTTTGGAATCCGTCCAGAGGACCTTACTTAACTGTTTTGGATTTTTTACCTGGATTATTGCGCACGCATCAGGATATTTTTCATGAAATGTTACAAACTTAAAGACTGACTGTGGCTCACCTCAGTTATTCTTTTTCTTCCTCGCTCTTCGATTTTCTTCAGCTGCTCTTCCTCTTCTCTGTCTTCCTCCTCCTCCTGGTTGGCGTTATGTGAAAGTTTCTTCTTTGTGATTGGCTGCATGGTGGACAGGAGGGCGGGGACAGTGAAGCAGGACAGGAAGCGAGCCTTTAGCAGCTGGTAGGCGGGGTTAGAGGAGAAACGCTCAGCCACCAGCTGACGCACCGCCTTCACCTGCTGCTCCTCCTCCTCCTCCTGCTGGTCTGAGCTGGCAGGTGGATCAGGCGGGCTACTTGGTTGGTTTTCAGCTGGTCTGCGGTCTGACGTGGAGTCTGGCAGGTCTGAGGGGGAGTGAGCAGAACCAGGATCAGTCTGAGAGGATTGTGGTTCACTGGCGCCACTCAGCAGCTGCAGAGACAACTTTGTCAGAGTCTTTTTGGTCCGAAGCAGCGCACTGAGCGTGCTCAGAGTACTAACAAACGGAGGCAGGTAGGGGAGGGCCGACTTCGTTCCAGGCACAGACACGCCCCCCCGCCCACTCAGCCAATCACGCACAGCCTCTGGGGGCTCTAGAGATATTAGGGCGGGTTTAAAGTGCAGCTCCTCCCTCCTGAGGGGAGGAGCCTTGGGTGAGTCCACTTTGATCACACCCTTATATGGCAGGATCAATTTAGCAGGAGTCTGGTGGGAGGGGCTATGGTTTGGGTCATGTGACAATACCTTGGCTGAAGGGAGGGGCTTGGACTGACAGGTGGTTGAGGCAGGATTTTGAGAATTTACGGACACGACTGGTTTCAGGTCAACAAAGCGCAGGCTTTCTGCAGTGAGAGGGGGCGGAGCCAGAGGAGCTGGGCAGGGGACACTCGGTAAGATTGCCAGCTGTGCATGTGGAGGTGGTACCACTGGAACAAGTCCAGAAGGGGTCATGACCCACATGGTCTGACTTGGAGGTAAACACAATGACGCAGCCTGAGCAAGGGGCCGAGTCTGACTGATGACGGCCTCCTTCGAGCCGGATCTGCGGGCCCGTTTCTGCTGCGGGTGGGAGGCAGAGCTTCTCTTCTTCTTTGCTTCAGTCTGAAAACAAAGAAGAAACAAGTTAGTCTGCTTCTCAACCAATATGAGCTTAGAATGAGTCCACCTGTACCTGAGCAGGTCTCACCTGGACCGCCTTTGCTTCCCTGGCCTTCAGACTTGGCTTTCGAAGCCGCTTCCCATCCTGAGTCGCAACAGCACAGGCTGCGCCCACCTCCTGTTGCTCCTCCTTTTCTTTCTTCCTCTTTCTGCCTCCAGACTTACATTTAAGATTTTTTTGGGGGGTGGGATCAGGGTGTTTGAGGGTGGGGCCAGCATTATGAGCAATGTAGTCATGGTCCCTAAGGGGCAACGCGGTGAAGAAAAATGGAGGTTCACTGAGCACTGTTGAGGTGGGTGGAGCTAAACTGAGTCCTTTAGCAGAGGAAGGAGAGCATGATTGAGGAGGAGGAGGAGGAGGAGCTGTAGACTGGAGGGAGGAAGAAGAAGAATATCTGACTGTTTGACTGCTCATTTCTTGGGTTCCATCAGTTTCTGATAAACCCACACCTGGAACTTCCTTCCTGCTTTGGCCTCTGCAGGTGATCTCCTCCTCCCTCCTTGTGGAGGGGCTCAGGGTGGAGCTGGAAGTGATGGAGGTGGTCAGAACAGCATGGTTACTGGTCACTGTGGAGCCAATAGAAACAGATGAAGTGGGCAGGGCTAAAGGGATGACAGTGGGAGAGGAGTTTGGCAGCATTGAGACAGAGAAAGGAGGTGCAGGAGGAGCAAACTGAATGGAAGCAACAGTTGGCTGAGTGACAGGAGAAGGAAGGAGGACACAGCGAGGAAACACCTGAGGAATCCTGTTAGGAGGCAACCGAAGAGTCACCTTAGGAAGTAGCTGATGGAGGAGGCGGGGCTGACTCCGAGGAGGCTGCCTGCATTTCTCCCGCTGTGCCTCCTGAAGCTGCTGCAGCATCAGCTCGCGCTGCTCATCCTCCTCCTGCTTACTCGGCTTCTGTTGACAGAGTTTTGTGATTCTCCTCGGATCCATCGCCATGTTTGTTGAGGTCGTGGGGGGTGGGGCCTGCACCACCTTCTTCTTCTCGATCATGTTCTTGCAGCCATTGATGTCCACGTTCATGGCATGGAGGAGCAGCAGGAAGACGGAGGAGAAGGAAACTTCGTTCGTCTCCGCCTGTTCCCTCAGGATGTCCGCCATCGTCTTCCTCTTGTTCTTGGCGAACAGCAGGTTTCCGATCCACGGCGTGATGGCGGCCTGCAGCTCGTAGTCTAAGCCCCTGTTCATCACTCGGGTCAGCGCTCCTCTTCTAGGTCGGGGATTGGCCCTTTTGGACTCCTGCTCCATGAGGCTCAGGTGGGCTCGCAGCTGGTCACGTGACACCATCATCATGGCGGCGCTGCTGTGACGCTCCTCCCACCGCAGCTCTCTGGGAGGAGGTCCGAAGATGACGGAGTTTCCCGACTTCCTCACGATGGTGGAGCGGACGGGTTTTTCGTCCTGAGGGTCAGCTGATGAAGGCAGCGCTGCCAGGCGAAACTTCAGGAAGGAGTCAGTTTGATTTTTCTCAGCTGGGATCCACTCCTTCATTGGGGGGATCACATACTCCTCCTCCTCTTCCGCCTCCCCAGTCTGCACCACCTTCTTCTTTTCCTCCTTTGCGTCTTCATCACTGTCCATGTACTGCACTATCACATCCTCCTCCTCTTCCTCCTCCTCAGTCATCTCCTCCTCTTCTTTCATTTTGATATTCACTGTTTGCCTCCCCACTCTCCTCTGGATTGAAGCTGCCGCCTTCACCTCCTTTTTTTCTCCTCCTTCTCCTCTTCTTCTTCGTGGCTTTTTCCTCTTCTCTCGCCTCTGTCAGGAAGAACAAGTCAATCATCAGATTATCAGAAAGTATTCATTAGATCTGTCAACAACTGCGTAACCTTTGGAGCCAACCTGTTTCAAGATGGCCGCGCTCAGCCAGGCGGCAGCTTCACAGGCACCCGGTGAAACCCCAGTTTTTGTTAGTTTTGAAGTCGGCTCTGAGCCTGACGTGTGAACTACAGCCAAACCGAACTTATGAGTATAAGAGAGGGTTTGACTCCGGATACAGCAGCGATCAACAACAATCTAAAAATTATCCTCGGCAAACTGCAACTTTTATGGACATCAGCGTGGAGGCAGCAGCGCTCTAACGGGAAGAGGAGGTGTTGTGCCTGCGGGAAAAAGAAGGGCAGCCGGGCCGGAGTGTTAGTGAGACTGAAAGCTAGCGCTAAGGCTAACAGACACCCGATTCCATCTCTCTTCTTGTCCAACGTCCGATCCTTGGAGAACAAGATGGATCTGCTTTGACGGAGTGCGAGTGTCTCTGAGGAGATGAGAAAATGTGCAGTACTCTGTCTCACAGAGACATGACTTAATAACAACATGCCGGACTCGGCGTTTCAGCTGGACAATAAACTTTTTTTCGGGTGGACCGCTGCAGCGAGCTAACGGGGAAGACAAGGGGTGGAGGTGTACACTTCTACGTAAACAAAGGTTGGTCCACAAACTGTGTTCTGATAAACAGCTCCTGCTCCGAGGCTTTAGAACAACTGACTGGAAAATGTTAACCACATTATTTACCTCAGGAGTCCTTGATGCTAATGCTAAAGACGTCCTGAGGGAGCTATATGGTAACATTAGCTCGCTTCAAAACAAGCATCCAGAGGCTTTTTGCATGATGACTGGGGATTTTAATCACGTAAACCTGAAAGACACTCTGCCAAGATTTTATCAGCATGTGACCATACCAACACGGGGAAATAACACACTCAACTGTGTTTACACCAACGTACGAGATGCTTACAAAGACATACCCCATCCCTACCTCGGACTCTCTGATCACATCTCCATCTTTATGGCCCCTGTCTACCTCCCCCCTGAGACGCTCCAGACCAACACAAAAAAAAGTCACGGTGTGGCCCAGTGGCAGTGACTCTGTACTGCAGGACTGTTTTGCATGTACAGACTGGCAGGTCTCCAGAGAGGCTGCTGTGAATGAGAGAGCTGGATCAGAGGAATACACATCTGCTGTCCTCGGATACATCAGAAAGTGTGTTGATGATGTCACCAACATCAAGACTGTGAAGAGCTACCTGAACCAGAAACCCTGGCTAAACACAGAGGTTCATACCCTGCTGAAAGCCAGGGATACTGCCTTCAGATCTGGCAACTCACAGGAACTGGGAAGGGCAAGGAAAAAGCTGGCTGCTGGCATAAACAGGGCCAAAGCAACATATGCACAGAAGATCCGGGGACCTTTCACCTCACAGGACCCACGAAGCAGGTGGAAGGCATTAAGTGCATAACGGACTATAAAAGCAGAAGTGCATAATGCCCTAGGGACCCATCACTGCCTGATGCTCTTAACAGGTTTTATGACTGCTTTGAAAACCCGAACAGACTACCTAACACCAGACTCACCTCACCACTGGAAGAGGAGTTAGCATGTCCTCAACAGAAGTGAGGAGTACCTTCAGGAGGATTATTCCTCACAAAGCAACTGGCCAAGACAATATCCTCGGGAAGATGCTGAAAGACTGTGACGATCAGCTCTGCAAGGTGCTGGCCAACATCTTTAACTCTTCCCTCACCCTGGCAACTGTTCCCACCTTCATGAAGACCACCACCATCATCCCAGTTCCAAAGAGTTCTGTAGTGACTGGTCTGAATGACTATCGGCCAGTAGCCCTCACCCCGATAGTCGCTAAAAGCTTAGAAAGACTGGTCATGGCCCACATCAAAGCTACCTTCGACATCAGTGAGGACCCACACCAGTATGCATACCGTGAGAATCAATCAACAGAGGATGCCATCTCACTCTCACCCACCTGGAGCAGAAGACTCCTATGTCCGTATGCTCTTTGTGGACTTCACATCCGTCTTCAACACCATGATTCCCCAGACCATGATGGACAAACCACTCAGACTAGGACTGAGCCCCTCCATTTGCAACTGGGTCCTGGACTTTTTAACAAATAGACTACAGTCTGTGAGGATCCACAACTTTTTCTCCTCCATCATAACCCTCAGCACTGGCTCCCCTCAGGGCTGTGTGCTGAGCCCCCTCCTGTTCACTCTGCTCACATATGACTGCGGACCTACTCATGCAGGCTGTTATATTGTAAAGTTTGTAGACGATAATGATACGGCAGTGGTTGGATGCATCAAAAACGATGAGTCCAGCTACAGGCAGGAGGTGGAACACCTGAAGAGCTGGTGCAGGAAGAACAACCTTCACATCAATGTGAAGACGACGTTGGAGATGGTTGTGGACTTCAGACGGAACAAACACACCTACCCCCCTGAATATAGGAGGATCAGCAGTGGAAGTAGTCTATAAATATAGCATACTCTCAGTCACGGTCTCTGATGAGAGGACCACTCCTGAATGTACCTCTGGCTCTGCAAGGGTCCAGGAGCTCCTTATCTTTGTTACTGAATGAGATCCAGTTTGGCAGGGTAAAGTAATCTGTATCAGACTCTTTGTCAGCCTCGCAGCACCCTCCGTATCTCTATAAACGCAGCTCTGGCTATGTAGTCTGAGAAGATGACGACCAGTCAGCCCTTGTGGGCCAGCGAGACTCTCTCCCAGGCTTGTGGGCCAGCGGGACTCTGCTGGGGTCGTGGACCAGCGAGACTCTCTCCCAGGCTCTTGGGCTAGGAGGACTCTCTCCCGGGCTTGTGGCAGTGTTTCTGTCACCTCTCCATCACAGAGAAGGTTCTTCTGGTCACATCGCACTTGGCTCCGTTATTCTTGGCGCTGCTCCTGAATTTTTACATTTTTGAAGCGTTGCTGCATTCAGTTCAACTCAAAGTATTCACTTAGTGCACTTCTTAACTTTTCACATGTTCTTTGTGAAGCTGCCGGCTGGAGTTTGTATTTTAATGAAAACATTGTCCGTCTTTTAGCTCAAACATTCACATCTTCTCGCCCACTCACCATGGCCCCCAGATGAGTTATTTATCTTTTCTTTGGTACCATCCTGTTTGTCGAGGCCCGTTTTATCGGTTCGTTTTGTGAAATAATTCTTTTGAACCAGAACTCAAAAGCAACAATATTAATTGATTAATTTTTCAACAATATTTCAGTTGAAAACACCGTCGTTAGAGGCAGCAAGCAATTTTAATCCTGAGTTTGGGTTTGTTGTGTATGACGTCAACACCAGAACATTCAGTTAGCACAAATTTGTGTAGAGGTCTACATGAGTCAGGAGGAAGAGGAGGTCTGCATGAGTCAGGAGGAAGAGGAGGTCTACATGAGTCAGGAGAAAGAGGAGGTCTACATGAGTCAGGAGGAAGAGGAGGTCTACATGAGTCAGGAGGAAGAGGAGGTCTGCATGAGTCAGGAGGAAGAGGAGGTCTACATGAGTCAGGAGGAAGAGGAGGTATGCATGAGTCAGGAGGAAGAGGAGGTCTGCATGAGTCAGGAGGAAGAGGAGGTCTACATGAGTCAGGAGGAAGAGGAGGTCTACATGAGTCAGGAGGAAGAGGAGGTCTGCATGAGTCAGGAGGAAGAAGAGGTCTGCATGAGTCAGGAGGAAGAATAGGTCTGCATGAGTCAGGAGGAAGAGGAGGTGTACAGGAGTCAGGAGGAAGAGGGGGTCTGCATGAGTCAGGAGGAAGAGGAGGTCTGCATGAGTCAGGAGAAAAGGGAGGTCTACATGAGTCAGGTGGAAGAGGAGGTCTACATGAGCCAGGAGGAAGAGGAGGTCTGCATGAGTCAGGCGGAAGAGGAGGTCTACATGAGTCAGGAGGAAGATGAGGTCTACAGAAGGAAGAGGAGGTCTGCATGAGTCAGGAGGAAGAGGAGGTCTACAGGAGAAAGAGGAGGTTTACATGAGTCAGGAGGAAGAAGAGGTCTGCATGAGTCAGGAGGAAGAGGAGGTCTACAGGAGTCAGGAGGAAGAGGAGGTCTGCATGAGTCAGGAGGAAGAGGAGGTCTATATGAGTCAGGAGGAAGAGGAGGTCTGCATGAGTCAGGAGGAAGATGAGGTCTACAGGAGGAAGAGGAGATCTACAGGAGGAAGAGGAGGTCTACAAGAGTAAAAGGCGGTCTACAGGAGAAAGAGGAGGTCTACAGGAGGAATAGGATGTCTACATGAGGAAGAGGAGGTCTACAAGAGTAAAAGGGAGTCTACATGAGAAAGAGGAGGTCTACAGGAGGAAGAGGAGGTCTACAAGAGGAAGAAGTCTACAGGGGCAAGAGGAGGTCTACAGGAGGAAGAGGCAGCGGAGCAGAAGCAGCCTGACCACAGGTGAGTGTACCTTAGGAAGTCGGCTCAGTTTCCTCCACTCTCTCATGCACTGAGCGTCCAAACGATGAGGGATCTCTGCAGCGATCTTTGACCAACGACCTGAAACACACAGACATCTGTGAGGTCAGAGGTCAAAGGTCAGCTTCATCACTAGGAAATACCAGCGCTCACCGACTCCATGTTTCTCCACCAACATCTTCAGCAACTCTATCTCCTGCTGGTCAAAAGGTCCTCGCTTCACGCCCTTCCTCAGACAGTCCAGATACCTGCAGACGAACAAACAAACAAACATAAACAAACAAACATGTTTACTGAAGCTACCAGAGACTCTGTCGTCCTCTCCGGTCTCACCTGTCTCTGCAGCTGCTGTCGGTGCGTCCAGGAACCTCCAACCGGACCTTCCACCAATACCTCTGTCCATAACGAGACACGGCCTGCAGCAGGAGCTGAAGGACAGGAGGACAGACTGATGAGAGGACAGACAAACAGACGGGAGGACAGACGGGAGGACAGACAGACGGGAGGACAGACAGACAGGAGGAC